AATGGCCCCCCCCCCCCCTTTTTTTTTCCTTAAGATGTATTTTTTTCCCAATAACTTCCAGGCCTGTGTCACTGTGAGATAAACTGCATTTTGCATCATTGTCTTCACCTTTGCATGTGGGGTTGTTGTCTTCACCTCTCTTCTGTTACTAGCCCTGAGGTACACATTATCTCATATCCACACACGTTCTGTCATATCTTGTTCCCTGAATAAATAAAAACTATGATGTTCAGAAAATGGGAAATGAAGGACTGGATTGAACTCTGTAGATATACATGGAGGAGGCACTCTACATGCTGATTTCTCCTTTCCCACATCTAGGTAGTGGTCGTGGGAAGCAGCTGCCTTCATGGTTCCATCTTTCTTCTGTGGAAATCATATGGGGCATATGTTTACACATCACATCTTGTTTGGAACAGCACATTCAGCTCCAAGAAATAATAAGTACGTGAGTACATTTACTCCATCGGATGCCTTATGCTAAGGTGAGGCACATATTTAAGTGCTTTCCTAGACCGAGACACTAGGGAACAGAAGGAAGGAAGACGAGATGATCTCTAGGATGTTTTAAGGTGGGTATGCATTGTATCTATTTGTATCAGGTCTCTTTGGATCAATGGAGATCTGTAAAGATGAGTCCGACTGTGAGGGAAGGACAGCAGGCTCTGTCTATCATAGCTGGCATAACAAGGATTCAGCAAGAAGACACCATGAAACAGTTTAGACAGACTGCAGTTAGATGCTCTAAAAACTGAACAGGTCTAAAAGCTGTTAAGAGGTGGGTCTTCAGTTCCAGAATTTCTATGTCTTCTTGCTGTGGGTGCTATGGTGAGGACTCTCTACTCTCTAGAAGAATTTGGAGGAATCTCAGTGCGTAGTGCTTCTCTCTACATGCTCTCTACTTGTAAAAAGGACATGAAACCTTCAAATGAAATACGTAAATGAATGTAAATCAGCATGGTCACTGCAAAGACATTCCTACAACAGATACATTTACCATTTGATTTACTGGTTAGGAAACTTCACAAATATCTATCAACAATGGTATAGACAGATTTAGAGTCAAGAGTTGAATTCTCTCACTTTGCACCTTGAGTGTATATTGATTAAAATTTATTTCAGTCTAACAGACCCCTGAAGGGACCTACCATCAAGGCCTGTGGTTCTCAGGACTTGATCTGCACATCACCTGAATTTGTCCTTACTTGCTTATATATTAGAAGATATCTTTGCATTAGAGTTCTGTACCTCCTGGCAGTTTTATAAATTACTCTTCATTGCCTGCTAGCCAGAAGAAGTCACACAAGATGGAAGAGCGAAATCCTGGGTTACCATTTAGTCTGAGAATGAAGATGGAGAACAACCTCAGTGCAGGACCTATTAGAGGTAATTCATCCAGCCCTAGGGAAACACATACATCAGATTTCTCTGTGGATTTACTATGAACCTTCAGCAGAGCCAGACAATCCTTGGGTTATCCATGGAGTGCACTGGAAGATGGAATATTAGTCTGAGAGAAGAATTCTGGTCCCACTTTACTCATGCTCTGCTGACAAAGTATATGTATGGCTTTTCTCTGATGAATCAGCTACTCCCTATTATGCCAATTTCTACCTAACAGTTGGTGGTCTGCTCTCTGCTTTGTGCTGAAACCTGTAATTCAGGTGACTGATGCAAGGCAATGAGGGATACCAAGAACAATCTTTCCTCATTTCTATTTTCAGATAAGTCAGGCCAGTATTACTGTTAATAATATTCTCATCTGTATTTCTTTATACGCATTATCATCATGTACTTACGATGGTATTCTTGGGGAGTAAAATATAGTTGAGTGAAATCGAGTGTTTCTACCATATTACATTAGCAATCCTGTTAAAGCCAATAGGAATATCCACACAAGGAAGGAATGTAGGGCTGAGCCTTAGATTCCTGTACCATTCTTCTTTAACCAAACCAAAATATTACTCTGTGTTTGGATTATGGTCAATTGCAGCTGAGAGATGATTGTTTGTCTTTCAGATTCCATTCACATGACTATCTTTTCATAACTGATACATGATAATTTATACTACATGCTCTCAGGACTATGTCATGTGAAAAGTAATATTTAGATAGCCAAATAGCTGACACAAAAAGTATACGACTATCACACACACACATGCTTGAAAGTCCAAGAAATCACATCTCCCAAATTGCTCATATCTTTCCCTTTCATTGTTTATGTTGGTTTCCTTTCAGTAAATACAATTGCAGATCTTTGGCCTGTGCCACATGTCAAATAAGGATAAGAACCCCCTACATGGAAGTCAGTTGTCGAATGGAATTGGAGTAGATATTTAAAACTCAGCACCTTTCCTATATAATATGTATCTTTAAGCTGCCAGATTACGCAGGTGTATGGTAACTTGCACATATAAAAACCCATTTATGATGATTAACAATTTGTGTGTGGAAAATAGAATGTGCTTAGGACATACGCTGTGGCTTCTACAGACTTTCCTGGAGTAACTGAGGGAATGAATATTGAATACCTGATCTAAGGAGAGAACAATACCACAATGCTGAAAGTGACTAAAAAATAAAAAAAAAAATCAGAAAGCAAAGAATTTCTATACTTTTTTTTCTGTATAAAATTTTTCTAGATTCTGATTATCTTATTTGGTGTGTTGTCTTACTTAATCCCTATGTGATGATAGAAAAACTTCAATTCTCACTTTTTATTACTCTGCTGGGAAAATTGTAAATAGCTGGAGTTTAGATTTGAAAGTATCCAACTACTCCACTTCCATCTGAATTAATGTATAATAACATCTTTAATTCTGTTGTTATCAAAGGAAATATTTTTTGCCTGAAGGATATACTTCTGGGAATATGTTAATTGTCCTATGCTATAATATCACTTCTGAAAGAAATATGTCTTTAAATATTACTGTTCAGTAGGACTGTTCTTAACCTTTGTCATACTAATAAGTACTGAAAGTCGAAGCTTTTCAAAGATCCAAATTGGGAATACTTCTTTTATCGCACTAAAATGGGTGGAAGCTCCACACACATACTTATGAAAGTATGGAATTGTGGCCCCAAGTGTGCTTAGCAGGGATAATTGGAAAGGATTAATTTACTTCATGTGGCTTTGAGGGAGATGAATAGTCTGCTAAGCTTCTAGGAAATAGAGATTTTGGAATTCTTTAGTTTTGCTGCTGTAGAATTATGTATGAAGTTTGCATCCTCAAGTAGTTTTACGTATGTGTGTCCTTAAAGGAACAATCCAAAAGAAAAGCTCAGATTTTCCCTATTTGAAGCTTATTCATATTGCTACCGGCTTTTTATATGAAATTCTGACTATTGAAAATGTCTTCACTTTGTCTGTAACATTCGTGCACTAGAACTTCTTGCATTAAAAGAGAATCATTTATATATGCATATGCCTCTCTCTCTCTCTCTCTCTCTCTCTCTCTATATATATATATATGTATACACACACACATGCACACATCAAGATTTAGGGCTTGGTGAAAATCCGTGTCTATAGAATTAGCCTAGGCTGAGGTTTTAGATGTGGGTTAGCACATGTGACTGTTAGATGTGACTGTTTGGATGTGACTGTTTTAGTTTAGATGTGACTGTTTAGATGTGACTGTTTAGATGTGACTGTTTAGGTGTGACTGTTTAGATGTGACTGTTTTGGTTTAGATGTGACTGTTTTAGATGTGGGTTAGCAGGTACCATTTGAGACTCAATTTGAGGCAGAGAGGCTCAAACAGAGGATTTGGGTTTTTTTTTTTTTTTCTTCAGTCCTGGGTAAGAATCTGCCTACTCAAGTTCTTACACTTCTAATCTGATCCTATAGTTTTACCTGAACTGCATTTTCCTTGCTGAATTCCTCCTTTCTGCAAGACAAGCCCCTGGCTCAGCATTCTAGCTTGGACCTTGCCCATTTCCTTTCTCCTCCCTTCCAAAGCAGTTCAATAACGATGCTGGGCAAGAAGTCCTCTTCCTAGCACATTGTCAGCTGGAGAGACGTGGACATGAACCTTCTAGGAAAGCTGTGATATGGTGTAATTCCCAAATTCACCTGTAGTCAGCAATTTTATGGCGATATCTCCGAGAAGCAGAGGGGATTGAGTGGATATTCATTTCAGTGCTCTTCTATGAACCAAAGGATGTTCTGCAGAAATGCAGCCCAGGATGTGTGCTAACACAGCAGTGCTGTGGTCAGCTGGACCTCGCCTGGGTAAGGCTCAGTAGGGTGCCTGTGCTCCCTGCTGTTGGCTTCTCCAGGCTACTCCCTGGCAAAGAGGCTGTCTCCAAAGAAACCTCCAGGAGCTGTATTTCCAAATACAGCTTTGGGAGGAGGAATCCCGGAGCTGCACTAGGAAACAGCTCAGCTCAAAGTTTGCAAGTGTACCCGATGGTGCGAGAACACCTCCCAGGCTGGAGGTACTGAGGCCCCCCAGGTCTCACCTGCTACGGAGGAGTCCCAGCCTTCCGCTGTGGAGGTCAGAAATCTGCATTTTTCCCTTCTTCAAAGCTGCATAGGGGTCTGGTTGAATTCAGAAAGTGTGTTGCTTATCTGCTGGTGTGGTAAGTCATTGACAGCCTCAGCTGCAGACTTGAGAAACCCTGAGTTTTATAAGGTATATTAAATCTGCGAGGCAGCATAAAAATACAGTGACAGCTACTCAGCAGTGGCTATGGGGCTGTCGAAAGCTTTTCCTCATATGAAACATGATAAATCAGTAGATGATGTATAACGACCTTCAGCGGGAAAAGATACTTGGGGTAGGCTCCATGATGCTTAATGTTACCATCTGAAAGATATTTATTGCATTTGAGCTGTGTAGAAGTCTTTCCTGTCAACGGATAGGCACGTTGGAAGGGTACCTACTGCATGACTCTGGCTTTAGCTGGACTGGATGAGTCTCTCACCGTATACATGAAATAATAGTTTCTCATTCAGCTGAGCACAGAGGGAGACTAAAGAGCTAATTTTGAGGAAATGCTGAAAAATATATGCAGGAAAGCTTAGGTGACTCAAATCTTGCACTTATTCATTCTCAAAAATGGTTTCACGGAGGATGACACCTGAGAAAAGCCTCTGACCCTGGATTTGGAAATCTAAGTAACCAAATTGCAGTCAGATGCCAGGCCTTTGTGTTATGGTTACACTGTCAGCAAATCGAACTGTTTAGTCTTGGGAAAAGTTAGTACTGCATGTTGTTCAAAGTAAGGGTTACATATGTTTTTTCAGTCTTGTCACAGCCTCCAGTCTTCTCCTTTGAATGCTTCTTTCCATTCCCGGATTTCTTACATTTCCATGTTTGTCGACAATGCGCATGATTAAAATGGTATTTTCATATTTCAGTGGAGTTGAGGCCCCTTAAAGCAGAGGGTTGCAAGTGTGAAAAAGAGATGTGTTGTTCCCTAATGGCTTATTACCATCACATTTGCAATTCAAATCAGTTCTAAATTGACTGAAATTTTTAAACACATAGCAGACAGTTTAAACTAATGATTGTCTGGAGGTTCACATCTGACATGAACTAAGCTTCTGCTCAAAACAAGTTGCAAATAATTCCTCCCTTAGAGTCAAAATGTCACTTTTTAAACCGTGCGTTGTTGCTAGATTTTGTCAGATATGTTAAAAAAAAAAGAGGACTATCCACTGGATGCTTTGTATTGGAAAGCAGAGTGACACTGGGGTGTTTTCTCTTTTTTTTTCCCCCTCCTCTTTATTTACAGTGATGTATGTTCACTCCCCGCGGCCTGAGGACCCCCCCTTCCCCAAGGAGCCGCCTTATCGCTGCCGGGGTTACCCTTTCCCGAGCTTTTAAACCGTTGTTCATTTATTTATTTATTTATTTGATTTTTCCTCCTCGGTCCCTTGTTGTTAGATTGCCGAGGCCTACTCAAACATGGTGTTCAGGGTGGCTGCTGCGTGCCTGAAGAGCGATAAGCGCTGCTAGGATTAGGCTTGCGTGTCCTGACTAACCGTATTTTACGTGCCAGGCTAGATACTGCGAAGGTTATGCTCCTCAGGGAGCAATGGCCGGTGCTGACATGCAGCTTGAAAGCTGCTTTTTTTTCCAGCTGTAGAAGTGTGGTAAAACTGACCTGATTCTTGATGGTTTCTGTAGCAGCACCCTACTTTCCTGCGATGACGGCTTAAAGAAGTCATACAGAATTTGGGTTCGGTTTCATCACAGTTTCAAAATCCATGGCTTTGATCACAGTAAAGGAGAAAACCCTTTAAAATATTCAGAGGGGCCACAAGGATCTGTTTAATGCAGGACTGAATTTGGATTTTCCTCGAACGAAATAACCCTTCTGAAGGGGCTTCCTGGAAGAATCCAGACAACTGATAACCACTGATTACTAATTGTGAATAAGGAGGTATTTGCTAATTTCTAAAGGGAATAAGCTTACATGGAGAGAAAAAAAATTAGGTCTAGTTCTTTTGACATAATCTTTACGTGTTTCTGCTTTCTAGGTGTTGGCTACAGGCGACTTGTTTTGGGACGGTCTCTCCATTTTATCCAGTGTTACTGTATCAGGTATCTGTGTTAGATGTCACTTAAAAGTCTGTATTGCTTGATGGGCTTGTGGCTATCTCTGGGCTCAAAGAAAAAGAGCAGTTTTCAAAAAAAAATGGCACAAAGAACCCTGCTTTGTTCATCAAGCTATTTGTTCAGTTGTTATTTACATTTTCATCTTTAGTTATAGATTTATATACTTGGAATAACATTGCATGCCTCAGTCTTTTGCATGACACATTGTGATATCGTCACCTGTATGGGCTATTTTGTGAGGCATTGAGTTTGCTTTTTGGTCCATTTTTTCATTGAAAAATGTTTTTGGAACTATTATTAAAACAATGAGTTTGTGTAGAACCCTGCACAAGTTAAATTCTCTCATGAGGGAAAGTTTGGTGAAATAATACACTTTCTTAACTAGTAAAAGGACAATGTCACTAAAAACTTTGATTTTCTTTCTGAAAATTGTTTAACTAGAATTGGTTTCAATCAATATGTGGGAAAAAACCTCTGATGAGTCTTTTCATTTGATTGCCTTAGAATGTCACTGTATTTTGGGGAAGGGGAATGTTAATACAAAATGAAAGAGCCTTTTTTTTTTTTTTTTTTGGATTAAGTGACAACTTTTCTACTACCTGTTCATTGCATATACAAAAATTTAATTAGAACATATTTTATAGCCACCCTCTTCCCCCATTTTTTAAAGCGAGATGCTGCAGTCTTGTTTTTTTAATTGAAAAGAGATGGGAAACGTCAAAAAGCATATCTTAAGATGTTTGTAACTCAAATATTATTTTTGGAATATCTACCTGTTTGTGGCTGGTTCTAGGAAAGTTGTATAAATCTATTACATTTTTCTTATGCGTTCAATATATGCAGGAGGAACGTGATATTATTCTTTGTATTTAAAAAAACCCCCTCAACTTACTGGTTATATTAATACAGATCAATTATAAAATGAGTTGCTGCTTTTAAAACAACCTTTTGAAAGCCTCTCCTTTCCATAATATAAATCTATAATGTTGAAGACTTCATTTAAATAAAGTTTGCCCAGGATACAGTTAAATATTTTTGGTCTTGTAGCCTTGATAAGAACACATATAGTTTTAACATTGGCTCCAGATTGTGCCATAGGATTAGGCTTTGCAGTATTGTAGCAACTGCAGCAGCAGTGCTGTGGTTTAAGTGTGTTGAACTTCCAAGTAATACAAATAAAATCATTTTGTATCATTGGTGCAAACTAAAACCCAATGTCATGAATGTTGTAAGAAAGCAAAAACGATGAGCTTTTTCCTTTAATTTTATATCATAAGAAAAAAAGACACATGCTTCACTGGAAAAAGATGTGCGTATCTTACTGCACAGTTCAGCTACAGCTGCTGGGGGAGGGGTTACATTGGTAATTAGAGGATAGAGCAAACACTGTATGCTTGCTTTTAAGTATGCACCCATGAAGGTAACTTCTCGAGTGTACATGCACTGAAACAGTTACCTTTATACAAAACATATTTCAGCCAAATATCCACCTTTCTGGACATCGTGTCTTTAAGAAAAAGCCATAGCAGTATTTATTAAAACAGACAGAAGGAGCACGTGGCATGCATTCAGACACTGACAAACTCCTCTTTGTATTTCCTTAGAGGACGCAAAATATAGAACATTACAATTAATCAAGGATCCTTAGCATGAAACTATGAATTTAGTCACTTGAACTCGTAAAGCAACAGTTGAAAAAGTATCTTGCTGGTTCGTTTTAAGGTTAGAACTCCATCAAAAACATCTTTCACTGCGTGCTTTGAGGGAGAGCACCTGGGCCATTTCTTCACCATCTCTCTAAAATATGTGTTGTCTATGTCC